ATAATAATAATTAATAATTATATTGATCATTATTATATTATTATTATTATGTCTTATGATTTTTTGTTATACTAATATTTAATAATTATACTTATAGTAATATACTGTATATATATATATATATAGACATATAGATATAGGGGTGTGTGTGTGTGTGTAAAATGGATAATTTTAATATAAACCTATAATTATAATGAATAATAATTATATAATTGACAATATGTAAATGTTAACAAGTCACTTTCAAATGGACAAATAAATAGATATTTAGAAATTGTTTAGATCATGTTTATATATTTTTTTTACTTTATTTCTGTTAGCAAACACTGATTGTTATAGTTTTAGGAAACAATAGCAACACTGTAAAAAGTCATCTGAGTTTAAACTCAAAAAAGTTAATTGGAAGTGTATTTATCTACACAGGAAAAGCAGTTGAACTTTACCTTGGTGATGATGTCCTTGAACTGTCCCTCTTTCCAGGCATCTGTGGGATGGCTCATCATGGTGATGATGGCGTTGTCATATTCTTCATACTTGTCATAGAGGAAAACAAGCTCTCCCCACAGGTGAGCCTGCTCTGCAGCCCTCAGGACCTGAAAGAGAAAGAAAAAGAAAAGAACTTAAGAAGCGAAGGAGACAGACTTTGTAACATCTGTGCATTGCAGATGATGATACTAAGATCGTCCCTTAGGAGAATATCAGATTACATGTTGAATTAAATTATAGCTGGAGGGGGATGATGAAATCAATGAACTCCTGCTGTTAAACAGAACTGAGCAAAGGACACTTAAAAAAAAGAGGAGTGTTACAAACCATCATCTGAAATAACAATCATCTTTAGTAGTGCTGTGTACCTTTGGGATGTTGACTCTGGACCAGAAGAGTTCCAGGTGTTCCCTCATCTTCTGTGGTTTGAATTTAGAGTAGAGGATGGCCAGCTCTGTGAACATGCCCATGTGAGCACGCTCCAACCCTAACGCCGCCTCCAGCATGGTGATCAGCTCCTCAAAATAGCCACGGTCCTATAGAGAGCATTTTATAACATTATAATTCAATTTCATTTTTATCTGTTGGTTGCAGAATTTTCTTGGAGGATCACAACTTGCCTGGTAATAGTTGATGAGCTCTTCTAGTTCATCGGCATGAACCACAATGTGAAGGCCACACATCTGAGCCAATCTGAACTCCTTTCCATCCACACAAGCAAAGCACACCTCCTTCCATGTGCGAGTGCTGTTAGCCTTGCGGGCACCGTCCACGGCGGCTTGATACTCGCCCAAGTGGACCAGGGTAGAAGCCAAGCGGCCGAAGTTGGAGACATTATTGTACAGAAGTTTGGCAGCCTCGTACATCTTCTCGTCATAGCAGCGATCTCCAACCTGTGGCCAATAATAAAGCAGTGTTATATAATATATTTGTTCTTCTTATATACTAAAGTACTCTTAATAACCAGTGTTGCTACTGTTAAGTAAAACTAAAACTATTAGAATATGTTTTTGATAATTAAAAATAAAGCTAAAATAAAATAAAATACAATATAAATATTACAATAATTGTTTTTTAATTTGAATAAAAATGAGAAATGCTGCCATGGCAACTGAAAAAATTTAGGTTGATGTACTAAAATGACTGAATCATTCATTTTGATGATTTATATATATATATATATATATGAATGAAGAGTTTGGTTCCAAAACATGATAAACGCCATTTAAAAAAAAAAAAAGTGAGTTTCCGCCAAAAACGGTATTGTATCTGGTCGGCATTGAAAAGTACATTTTTAATTTTACGCAAAATGCGATATCCGGCGAGTTATTCTGTCATGTTTTATCCCTTTTTTTCCAAACTGTGACAAACGCCAGTCTCCCTTCTCTGCAGAATGCGATATATCCGCTCAACCAATCACAGCGCACCATTCCACGCACTCTAGACAGTAATGGCAATGCTTTGAATACACCCGGCATCCTAGTTTTCCTCATCTACTTTGTACTTTGTGATCAACAAACAAACTTAGGGCTGCACGATAAATCACATGTGATTGTCATGCGCATCTCGTCAGTAAAGCCGGTTCTGTGATTAATAGTAAATCTCCATCACGTGCTTTAAGATGGATACACAGAGCCGTAGATCACTGCTATATCGAGTTCATAATCGCAGATGAGTCGCATTCGATTATGAACGTGATATTACGTAGCTTGTCAGTGTAAGTGTTTTTATTAATGCCATTAATGTTTTTGTTAATACGGTGTATAGCACTAGTCAACTAAATGAATGTAACATGGCAAAGATGAATGCACTTTTGGAAGTTGAATGTAAGGGAAATGTCATTTTGGAATTTCTGTGGTCTAATGTGATATTGTTGTTCATGTTCTTGTTCATGATGAAATTTTCTTTTATTGCTGTAATTAATTAATTACAGCGATGACTGATTTAATGTATTTTTAGTCCAGTGCCTGTATATAAGATTAGTATTGACCAAGTTCAGAGGCTGTCATATGTGGATTAACCATTTTGTGTATTTTCAATATGAAAAATAACTTTTACAGTGCACAGCATAAATGAGTACACCCCCTCTGAAACTTAAATTCAGCAATTACTCTTTGCTTAGAATGTTTTTTAGAGAAATAATATTCCAGCAAGTCTGCTTGATCAGTTACCAAAGAAGAATGTTAAAATTATTCATGAAAATACCATTTTCTTATCAAAGTGATGAAATGTTGTGTTGCAAAAATGAGTACACCCTCCCGAAAGTTACTAAATTAAAAAAATGATTAAAAAAAACCAAATCTGGTGTAAGGTTAAGGCAAGTGTGTTGAACCAAAACTGTTAAAGGTAATTTCTTAATAATTAAGTGTTTTATGACCCACTGAATCATACTCAGACTTAATGCTGACAACAATGAAACCACTTGAGAGAGAACTGTCAGAAAAAAAATGATTAAAAAAACCCAAATCTGGTGTAAGGTTAAGGCAAGTGTGTTGAACCAAAACTGTTAAAGGTAAGTAATTTCTTAATAATTAAGTGTTTTATGACCCACTGAATCATACTCAGACTTAATGCTGACAACAATGAAACCACTTGAGAGAGAACTGTCAGGAGATTTATTTCTTAGCATAATAGAAGACAATGGTACAAGAGGAATACCAAATTATTGTTTTAAGTGTGAAAATATAGCCAAAGTAACAGAAATTGAAAAACAATGGACTTGTGAAAAAGCCCCTGAAATAATCAGGTTTTCACTTTAAGCTTTCATTTAGTAATGAGTGAGTTTTTGCTAGAAAAAGAGCAGGAGAAACACTGTGAACGTGTCTCAGAGTCGGCAAAAGCTGTAAAAAGAGTGACACTTTATCTTACAGAGTAAGATGCAGCATGCAGAAGTGACATGCATGGTTCATCCACACCAGAACTACCGACTGTAGCCAAAGCACAAACAAAGCTTTTTCCAAGGCCCACATTTACAAAATATAGACTTCTGGGAATCCATACTCTGGTCTCATGAGACCAATTCAATCATTTCGGATCTAACAGCATCCAAAATATTCTGGTGTTGCTAGAGGAGGAGTACAGAGAGAAGTGCCTGGTTCCCACAGTGGCATTCAGTGGTAGTAAAGCTCTTCTATAGGTATGTATGAGTGCTGAAGGTGTGAGGGAGTTGTACTTCCTGTACATCAATGCTGTCATGAATTCACACACCACTATGTGATGTAATACAAAAACTTGAAACTGAAGATGCTACCCTCTTCTCATTCCCTGAATTGTTGGGCATTTTTTTAACATGACAACAAAGATATTCATTCTCCTGAGTTGAAAATCCTATCTTAACACTCTTGAGCTGCTGTGAGAGATTCTGTAGAGACGAGCTGAGCAACACTCCCCATTAAAGACCAGGGCATTTGGTTGAATTAAATCTAGGTTGTACTCAGTTCTGCAATCCTTCATTTAAACAAAAATTGGCTAAGTTTTTTATTTTACAGATATTAATGGCATGTATTTCTCTGTTTTTATTAAGAATATGTTTAATACATTTCAATTTTGCCATCTTTCTATGAATTATATTAGTGATCATTAAGAAAATACATATTGTATATTTAATCAGAGGGGGTGTACTCATTTATGCTGTGCACTGTATATTGATTCAATGGATTTATTGCATTTGGGAAAAAAAAACATGTCATGGATTTATTGCATTTTGGGAAAAAATTATAACATTTTATAATAAATGTTTGAAAATCAAAATCTGGATTTGAATTTTTAATGTTATTATAACCTAAAGATGCTATGTGAATGTTTGAAACAGAAAATAGTGTTTTTCATCTTGACACTTTCTTGGTAAAGAAAACACATTTTTACTCAAATTAATCAAAACGGATTTATAGCGTTTTGGAACCAAACTCTTCATATATACATACACACAGAGTAATAAAAATGACAAAAGCACAAAAAATTACTAAGGAATTCATAAAAAGTAATTGTGCATTACCTGCTGGATGTGTGCATTATTTGGTCCATTTATAAACTCCTCCAGTTCAGCAAGACGATTGGTTTTGGCCAGTGCGAAGATCAGCTCTGTCTCCACGTATGACTCTCTGGCCTTCTTTCTGGCCATCTGCAGAAACTTCACCAAGTCCTCCCAGTTACCTGAGACAGGAAATATAGTTGTGAATACAGAATCAGAAAAAAAATTTCCTTAAATATATTAAATTAATCTATTTAGTACTAGAAGAGAAGAGGACGTACCACTCTGGGAAGAAACCTCAACCACCTCCATGTAAGCCGAGGGGTCATCAGCCTTGATGTAGGAGTCAATGGACTCTTTGACGAGACCCTTTTGCAGCTGAGCCTTAGCCAGCTGACTCCACACTGCAGGTTCATTACAGCGCTCTGCAAACTCATACGCCCGGTCCAGATTACTGATGTGCTCAATCAGAACCTGAGGAGGCCAGGAAACATCAGCTCTTTCCTTGTCTGCTATTCAATAAATCACTTCAGGAAGCCTTAACTTGAAAGTGAAGGATACTGAAAGTGTGGCTCAACTATATACCTGCACTGCAGAGGTGTTGACATCAAACTTCCTGAAGATAGCAAAGGCCTCCTCGAACAGCTCGCTGCTGATGGCGATGTTGGCAATGTCTGGGGCATCGTAATTGTCCAGGCGGTTGATGTATTCCATGACGCGGGTGCGGTCTGCTTTGATGGCTGTTAGGATGAGCAGGTTCTGCAGGTTTCTAGGAACAGGACGAAGATTGGACTTAGATTAAACTTTATTAAATTGCATTAAAAGGTTGCACAGGACTGTTCGGGCCAGGAATTTTATGTCTGTAAAAGTCAGAAAACACACAAAAATGGCCTGTTCCAAATGTTCATAGGTTGGAATATTTTTGGGCTTATGCACCTGTGTTCACTAAACACTGAGCTGTCCAGGACGATCTTTTCCAGGAGCTCAATGAGTTCATTGGGCAGGTCAGCAGTCATGAAGGCCTTCACTGTGACCGACACCTCCTCTGGGTCCTGAGTCTCTGACAGGGCTGTCTGCACCACCTAAAGACACAAAAAACAACTTGATATTCAAAAACCATACAGGAAGGTCAAAAGAGAATCAGAGATTTTAAGACATATATTACTTATAGCTTGAGTTTAAAATGTTTACAATATTTATTTTAAAATGTAATTTATTCCTGCAATGGCAAAGCTGAATTTTTAAAAAAGTTGTCTTCAGTGTCGCATGTTCCTTCAGAAATCATTCTAATATTCTGGTTTGGTGCTCCAAGAAACATTATTATTATCAATGTTGAAAACAGTTGTGCTGCTTAATATTTTTGTTGAAACCATGATACATTTTTTTTTCAGGATGCTTTGATGAATAGAAAGTTCAAAAGCACAAATTATTTGAAATATAAATCTTTTGTAAAATTATAAATGTCTTTACTGTCTCTTTTGATGAATTAATGCATCATTGTTGAATAAAAGTACTAATTTCTTCAAAAAAAAAAAAAATCTTCCTGACCATAAACTATAAACAATAGTCTGTTACAAAGCCTAGTGAGACTATAGGGAGAATTTTAAGGGATCACAGGAATACTTTCCAAAGTAAAGACTGTTTAAAACAGAAGGTAGAATAATTATGCTCAGATATTCATCAGATTAGGGATCCCAGAATGTACTGCAACAAGCTCACCTCAGATTCTTGAATGGCAATTATAAATTCAATGCATACATCTATTCATCTATTCAGTAACATTCATCTATTTAAAATAGACTATTTCACCCTATATTAATGTGAAATTAATTAAAAATAACAATCATGCACTTTCAATTCCTGTATGATCCATGTTTACATATCGTGAGAGATGACTGTAACACCCATATATATGTGTACCTGGTCAATAAGGGGCCTCCTGTAGGGGTTGGTCTCCAAAAGCACTGGTCGGTGAGTTTAGCTTCCTGTCAGTCAGACGACGAAGAAATTAGAAGATAATGTCAGATGTCAGACATACAGAAAGCATGTTCAGTAATACAGTCAAATCTGCAAAAGACTCCAGGCGATTTTTAATGTGACTTCTAAAATTAATTTTAACGCAAAACATTGCATTAATTATTCAGTATAAGACTTAATTTTACATAATTTCAAAACTGGAAGACAAAACTTAAAAAGATTTAAGTTTGTGAAACAGATCTCACTGTATTTGTTAAAAATAAATACAATAACTAAATCACTGAAAATTATTAGTTCTACAAAAATCTACTAAGTAGTTCATCATTTAAAAAAGTAAATATTAAAGCAATAAAAAACTATTTCTATAAAAGCTGCAGAGTAAATGGTAATTAAAAAAGGAAATATTACAGCAATACAAACTAGTTCTACAAAAGCCTACCAAGTAATTTATATTTTAAAAAATAAATATCAAAGCAATAAAAAAACAAGTTCTATAAACACTTACCAAATAATTCACAATTTAAAGATAATAAAAAATACAATTTTAAAATAATAAGAAAAAAAATCAAACATGACAAATTGAGAATGTTATAAACAGGATTCGAAGATAACGGAGTAGTCCACAAAATATGTTTTTTGAAGAATTGTGTAGTTAGTGGTTAAAAGAAGGTCTCTAACTGAAAACAAGGCTTGAATCATGTCAAACTTTGAGGTGACAGTATTGCTCCCCCTGCTGGCTAAAACATTTAACTACTCTTTTGCCACACAGTGCAGTTTACAACACATATAGGATTAATGAACTGGGATTGTACAATTCACTCCACAGGAACGCCACAATTGACCTCCACAACCTTCAACACATTAAGCGTGTCTACAGATATTTACAGAGGCTGAACATTTGCAGTGAAGCCTTGAACAACGCTATATTAAATTTGAGCAAGTCACAAAATCATTCCACAAAACTGGGTTTTCTGGATCCACCCTCTGAAGCTGGCAGAGTCCAACTGTGCAGTCAACTTTATAAGGTCTGACTCTGGTGGAATAGATTCTGAAAAAGAACCGAGGCTTCCATTTCTGCAGAACATGGTCACCACAAATCAACCACAGCCAAACACACATCAACACAGTACCACAAAACCACAAACTCAATCTCAGCCCGGTCACTCGCTACCATTTCAAGTTCAGGCCAAGAGAGGGTTGTTCCCAGCAGTCAATGCTTTTTGAAACCTCCCTGTATGTGCATCGCACACACCAATCCCAGTATTAATCCTTCAAATGACCACTAGGAGAAAAGAAGGGATGACAAAAGAAAAGGGAATAAAGTAAAGTAATCTTGTAGTACTTAGGGTTAATTTACCTGATTCAAGTCCTGAGCATCCCATAAGTACAGGGTAAAGCACAGGAGATAACAACAGCCACCATGAGGATAAAAGAGTGAGATCAACTCCCTAAAACTAGAAAACTACTGGCACATGGCTGCCTGATCTAAATAGGGATCATTTGTTAATAAAAAGAGAATACAAACTGTATTGGATTTCCCCCCAAAGTTCCAAGATATTAAATGTTCCTTTTTATTGTACAGTACGCATGTTTATTCAATGTCATTGACACTAAAACAAATGTACGGAATCAATATAAATCAAGCTCTTTCAATAGCATTTGTAACGATGTTGATTACCACATGAAAATAATTTAAACATCCTTTTTTATCTTGTTTTAAATTTTTTTATATTTTATTAAACTTTTTTGTTTTATTATTATTATTTTCACATCAACAGTAAAACACTTCCATTGGATGTAAACCAGGTCAGGGTTCTGGGGGTTTTAGAAGCAGAGATCTGAAACTGGTATTTTTGTTGAAGCACTTTATTGAATTATTTAGTAAAAACTTTTTTATTTGAGCTGGAGAGTTTTCCAAATCATTCTTTTGACTTAGACTAGACTTTTCAAAGTAGATGAATTTCTGGTTATGCATTTCTGACGTAATTTCTGTGGCCATTTTGTCATCAAACAAAGTTGAAATATTGAATTAACTTAACACACACAAGGTTAGTAAGTGATTTTATGTGTGATTGCAATTAAGCCTTTTTACATTTTAGCATGAGACTATTTTGATGGAATCGTTTATTAACCTTGTCTGTATAATAATGAATAAATAAATAATAATAATAATAATTATAAAAAGATTAAAATACTTAAAATAAAACCAGTAAAGAGGAGTTAAAATTATTTCATGCACTAATCTTAAGATTAATTTGTGATCATTATAAAGGTTTAAATCTTGTGGCTTGTTTTTAAAACGATGCAAATGTAATATTTATTTTAACAGTATTTACTTACTGTTACCACAATTTGTGTTGTATTTTAAACTGTATATATATATATATATATATATATATTTTTTTTTTTTGGTGGTAACTGACATTGACAATTGCCACAGATTGTGTTAATAGAGATAACAGAACTTGCATTAAACCCAGAATATTCCTTTATCAAAATGACAAGGATCAAACAGACATATCCATTAAAAAAATCTGTTACAATTTTATACACTTGCATCTGAAATTGCAAACGGCTTGTATGTAAATGATAAAAGACAGATCAGTAGAAAAGAACAAAACAGGAAATGTAATGTGTTAAGAGTTTTAACAGATGAGAAACTAGAGAATATAATGTGCTTTTTGTGGTCAGCTATGGATCATTTTGAGGGGTTTCACTGACAGAGTCTTGGCAGTACCTTGAGAAAGTTCTTGACATGTTCAGGGTCATAGCAGTTGCTTTCCCGACAGATCCGCTCCACCTCTTTGATTTGGCCCGTCTTGCATGCGGCCTGGATGTATTTGAAATGCACCTCTGAGTCCTGGCTGAAGTTCACAATCGAGCCAAGGAAGTAGAACAGACCTGCATCCAGCACAGAACAATAAATGACGCTTGACTGTTATTAGACAGACGTCTGATCGCAGTTACCATTTGATCTAGACATTTTGTACTTTAATGAGACTTTAATGGGATTTTTTGTCCTTTTAAAATATTTTATGTTCCACAGAGGAAAGTCGAATGGTTTGGGATGACATGAGGGTGAGTGAATGATGACAGGGTGCACAAACCCTTTAAATGACCAATTCAGGCCGCTACATTTGCATGAGCATTGCATTTCCATTAAAATGTTGCTTCTTGTCAAAAGCACTCTTGCTGTCATGTGAAAAGCCTGAGGGATTGTGGGTGGCCGCAGGCCCCGTGCACTGCCTGCTCTGATTGCCAAATCTTTTGTCCTACTTAGCCCAGAACGGAAGGCTACATGCTGCTCCACACGCAGAACAGAGTCATTAAATGGCCAAGATACCAGTCACATTGTGTCTGCACTATGAAAGGCACCCAGCAGAGTGACCACGAGTGTTTACATACAAGTTCAAATATACTCAAGAGTGATTTTCTAGCAGTGTCTGCCAACAGAATTGTTAGGCCTGCCAGATATATCAGATGAAACATGACCAACGTATACTCTAGGTGGGATTCAAATGCAAGAAAAATGTCCAATTAAGTCTTATTGTTTTTGAATGTACTTTATGAACTTTCAGATGTTTGTGATTATTGGATAAGCTTATTGGGTAAGCTAACCAATTTGTTGATCAGTTTGTTAAATCAGTTAAAACAGACTCAAAAAAACAAGACACTTTATTGCATTCAAAATTAGCTAGATGAAACTTCAAAATAAGTTTAAAAAAAATTGGATTTGTTTTTAACCTGCCATGCTGTCTTAAATAACTTCTGCTGTTGACCTTAAAAAAAACAATGGCACAATGGGCAAATACATCCTTTTGAGTGTTCATGCTTTAAAAGGGAATGAAAATGTGAAATTTACATAAATTTTCAGAAAGCGTATTATCTTTTCAAACAGTCTAGCACTTAAAGCAAAGAGCATTAATTACAACGGCTAAAAATACAAAGAAAAATTTTTTTAAAAAGAAAATACATTTAATGAAAACACAAAAGTAGCCTTTTCTTTTCTAAAAAAATAAAGTTTTAATATTTCCTGATATTTCCAGGTTGTTCAAGACCATGGGAGCCCATGTCAAAGTGGTTGAATTTTCCAGTGACACCAGGTTAGTAAATCATGAAGAATCTAGTTCTTACCCTCAAAACTCTTGAAAGACTCGAAAAGCTCAGTTAGGGACTGGGTACTCAGCTGCTCATGATACTTGGAAGCCACCTGGACACAGATCTGAAGGTTCTGCCTGATGTTAGCAGAAAGCATGGCTCTCAGACACTCCAGAGAGTCCTCCACTGACAGAGCGCCAAAGTAGTTCACCAGCCACTGCAGACATTAACGGTGTAAAAAAGCATGAAAAAGAAGGCCAGACTTCAATTCAGTATGATAAATCAAGAACTTGTTGGGTACCTCTGGGTTGAGCAGGTGCGTGTGTACGACAGCTCGTTTGATGTCGTACAGGTCGGTATAGTGCTCTAAAGCTCTCTGCAGAAGCCCTGCCTTCTCACACAGCTGGGCAATGTGAGCACGATCGTAGTTAGTGAACATCTGATTTCCTAGGATGGCATCTGCAACCTGCAAGAGACCGTTTTGCTTGAAAACAGTCTAACACAATGACAATAAGTGTATCTAGATGCGTTTCGGTGTGCATTGTGTACCTGTGGTGCATGCATCAGGTTCATCTCCAGCAGACGGGTCTGCAGTGGACCTTCTGATGGGCGGTTGTTTTTCAGAGCATCTAAAAGGAAGGACGTGCACTGCTGGACCAGGTTATACTCCATAAACACATCAACGATCTGGGAGAAAAACACACTTTTTCAGTGAACGTCTTTCTGAGCTCATTAAATGATTCTTAACAAACAGCCTCTGGGTCACATGGTTTCTCTCTAAATTATTTCAAACTCTGCTCCTTTTATTCCTTTCTTCTCAATCTCCCACTCCCCTTTCATCTCCTCTCCTCCTCTGTTCCTGACCTGTGTGATGTCAGCCAGCGGTTCCTCATCCTGAACGAGCATCTGAGCAAACTGCAGACCCTGATCAGGACTGATCCGCATCACGTTCCTCAGCAGGAAGATCCAGTCTGGAGTGTAGCCCACCTATAAACACCAAATGAAGTATGAGAATGTTTTCAAACTCGTTTTATTGGAGTCCATATGTCTATTTTAATTCATTTCAAATCTTTTTAACCTTAAAATTGACTGATCAGTCATCATACCTTTTTGGCATACAGGACAATCTTGGGGAACTGGCCGGTTTCTGCGAAACACTGAATGACTTTGTTGGGTACGTTGGCCCTCAGGTAGACACTAAGAGCAAGAGTGGGGTCCACAGACTTCACCAAGTCGCCCAACTCCTCGGAGCATTCAAGCTGAAGAGAAACAACAGTAATTCACAATTAAGGTTAAATACAGTATAAGAATGCTGTGTGAATTCAAAAGACATTTGATTCTTAAGAGCCGGTTCTTTTTGACAAAATGATTCACAAAAAACATGTCACCATTCCAGTCTTCAGTGTCACATGATCTTTCAGAAATCATTCTAATATACTGATTTGGTGCTCAAATAACATTTATTATTATTAGTATCATCATCATCAACAAAGATAAAAAGCAGTTGTGTTGGAGCACTGGATACAGTGATTTTTTCAGGATTATTTGATGAATATGAATAGATAGTTCAAAAGCATTTATTTCAAATATAAATCATTTGTAACATTATGAAAGTTTTTTTTACTGTCATTTCTGGTCAATTTAATGCACCTGACACCAAATGTTTTGAATGGTTGTGAAGGAGGGTCCAATTTTAAGGTTGAAATTAATACAAGGAAAACTTTATTTGGCATAGTGCTCTGTGAGTATTTTTTCCGTTCAGAGTATTTCAGGACTGAGCATAGCATCATGGTCCTCAACTCTCTAAATAAATCATGGTTGTGAAACAACAAATCATGTCAGTTCAATCAATAAACCAAGTCGAGAGATGTAACTTGTTGAGACTATGAGAAAGAACATTTTATTTCAGTTTTTTTAAATGCATATTGTAAAAAACAGACTGGAATGAAACCCAAGACTTTCCTCTGTGCTTTAGAAGGAAAAAACCCAAACACCCCTCGCCCCACATAACAAACACATGACATCATATCTAAAGCAAACATCTTAGATAACAGACATACATATTCACACACAAACACAGTCGTTCTCACACAGACCCCTTCTTTGTCTCAAAAATATGGAGGCATTCGTTCTGTTTGTGAAAAAAAAAAACACATGTGAAGAGCACACCCTGTTCCCTGAGCCTCTCGCTCAAATACACACACATGCGTACAGAGGAAGAGGCTCTTGTGGGCGTGAGTGGAGATAACCATCTCCCCTGCGACCTCCTCCACATACCTTGTCCTCCTTCAGCCATTTCTCCAGAAGTTGTTTGCGGCCCTGCTGAAGAACGGGTCTGCACAGCTCCAGAGACTCAAACTTGTTGAGCTGGCCCTGGTCCAGTAGGATCCCAAAATACTGCAGAAGTGGGGATGTCTGGCCGGGCTGGGCCGGGACGCCCTGGAACCGGCGGATGGTGTCAGGAGTGCGCAGGATACCCTGAGATAAACAAGAAGTGAAGATAATTGGAAGTGAAGAGAAGTATTATATAATAATGATAAAATGTTTAATAGTATATAATACAATTATGACAAAAAGTGCCTTATTTCAATTAACTATAATTAATTATTCTATTTAATTTAATTTCTAATATTATGTTATTATTATACATCATATTACAAGAATATTCAGCCCTAATCACCTTTGGAGCATTAGCGGCCACTTTAGCTGCTTCCGAGTAGTTTCCTGCGGCAAAGAGGTTGTTAAACTTGCGGGCAAACAGCTCCTCGGCTCCTGCCAGATTATTTCGGACTGCCATCCGTAAAGCCAGGTCTGGATTCTGCAGCACATTGGTGATGTACTGGATGATGTTCTCCTCCTCAACACACACTGACAACACCTACAAAACAAACACATAAACAATGGAGTGATAAATTTGTGTTTGCAATTAGTAATTTACCTTCAGACCGACGTACAGGAAGGTCAGACAAGGTGAGGCATTTAATCTTTCAGAGCACATTTCTATTACATACAGAGAACCAGATCAAAAAAAAGAAAGGAGAATGCACACAACTCTAACACATGTAAGCTTTTTGAATTGAACATACTGAGAAATGTCCTCACTCTCGGTTGTAAACAAACAGCGTAAGCTCACGTGTGTTCTTGGTCGGAGTGTTCTGGTTCAAACAAGTAGGGATGTGCATAAAATTCCATGTCATCATCTTTCACATTGAAATCATCAGTGATTATAACTTTTACATTGTGAGCTTTAGATGTTGGTACTGCTGGTGAAGGTCTGCACACGAGTCTTCACTCTCCATTGTAAACTAATAGCGTCAGCTGACATGCGAGTATGCGCCCACACATGTGTTATTATGTGACAGGAAGTTTGTGCAACAGACAGTCGTGAGCATGCCCAAATCCCCCAATCAGAGCTTTTCTGTTAATCGAATACGTACTCTACCCGGCTTTTTGCTTTATGCAATCTGGCAACCATTCTCACGCGCGCTCTCTGCGTAGGCACCATGATCTGAAAACACCGACATTCAGTACTGTACAAGTAAGCTGGAGTTGAGCGATCTCCATTTGAGGTATTCTGTTTAATTTAAATGAAAGTGTCATTCAGCCAGTCTGTGTTCTGTCATGGATCTCGACTGTATTGTTTGCAATAGTGGTTGCTGATTGTAACGTTACTGTTACAAACTCGGCTTATTGTGCGGCAATAAGTCTTTTTGCTGTTGTTTTAAAAGAGAAAAATTAATGCAATTTGGAATTATTGGAATTACTATTAGGAATTTCTCTGTTATAATATTTGAGAGTAGGTTTTTGTTACTTTTCATAACGTAGACAGAGCGAGTGTATATCTAAAGTCTTTGGTGTTTAATTAGCCTCTAATTTATATCTTGTTATAAATTTGTACACTAGATGAGGTCAAATAAATAAGTAAAAGTAAATAAGTTTTCACTGACTAAAACGCAATTTTTTAGACTAAAATGCTCAGACATTTACCCCCGGTTTCACAGACAAGGCTTAAGCTAGTCCCAGACTAAAATGCATGTTTGAGCTGTCTCAACTGAAAATATCTTGCTCTGACATATTTTAAAATATGTCAGTGTCATTGTTCTGTGTCAAGATGCACACCAGTAATGTTTTCTTCTAATGCATTTTTGTAAAAGTTGCTTAAATATCTTAATTTAACTAAGGTCTAGTCCTGGCTTCAGCTAAGCCCCGTTTGTGAAACTGGGCCTTAGTCAACTAAAACTGGACTAAAATTAAAACAGGACAAGTTGACTAAATACGATAAAAACTAAAAGTTACATTTGAAACAGGACTAAGACTAAATAAAAAAAATAGCTGACAAAATGAACATTAATGAACTGCCAAGGACAACGGTTTCACCTAAAAAATCTTCTTTACTGTTGTACTGAAGAAAAAAAGTCATCTCTTACTGTTATTTTTTTTTATCATTACTATTATTGTTGTTAATAATTTTTCTATTTGTTAATATAGATACTAATATTACTACTACTAATAATAATAGTAAAATGTTCTCATTGCTCAATGTTTTAAATGTCTTCTTTTCTCAAATTTTTTCAACAGAGATTTAATGTAATTTAGCATCTTCACAGGAAGGAGGAGCAAACAGGAAGTTCCCTTGGTCACTTTTACCTGCATAAAAGCAGCTGGAAAATCCATCACACACACAGCAAAAGTGATCTGTTATATAATATCAATGACCCTTAATGAGAAAACGTAACACCTCATATCAGCTGACCTCCTCACACTGAGGCTAAGGTGTATACTAATGCTCGTCTCTAGTATGCAACACGATCAGATGCAAGAGTGCAGTGAGACGTGAAAGGTGTCCCCTTTCAACCAAGATGTCATTGCTTTGACCAAACATCTTGTATCTTTATTTCCAATAAAACACTGCTACTAATAAGATCTCTAGGAATTAGTGACAAGCCAAGAGGTTGTTTGAGAGATGCTTAAAGTTTGACATTATTATTGTAGATGTTTGGCCAAGAGACACAAGTTGAGGCCGCCAAAAGCCCATCAAAGCACAATGTTCTGCAATATTTCTCTGGAGGTACAGTACATAGTGAAGCATGGAAGGGCTTCTTCAGCTACTAGGTTAAAACATTGACCTCCACAAACCAATAAAACAGATTTATGACGCCTAACTTGTGTGAACACGGATTAGACTAGACAAGTGAGGCCAGTTTATTATAAACAACCAAGATTAAGAAATTTTCCCCCAGTCTGAGACTATTTTAACTGCTTGTGACCAACCAGGTGGACAAGATCGCACTGTCAATTTTTTAAATCTCTGCTATAAGTGCATGTCGTAAGTGTTTGTACACTACTGTGTGTTCTAGATTGGCATCAGCATATCAAAGTCACAGGTGTTATTCTGCACGGATGAATATCACTCTGCGCTTAAACCTGCCCATCCCACCCCCAACAATATGGGTCAGCGTGCCCAGAGATGGAGCGAGACAGAGACACTAAAGAGAGGAGTAAAAATAGAGCAGCTCATTGTGTCTACCAGCTTTCCTCCACAAAGAGGTAGTGAGAGAGAAAGAAAAGGAGAGGGCAAGTGAATCAGAGATTACATTTGTGTGTGCGTGTGTGTGTGTGTGTGTGTGTGTGCGAGAGAGAGATAGACAGACAGAAGCTGCAGTGCTCCACGGGGGAAGAATGCTGCATTGACGTCAATAAAAGCCCAAGGTCTGAGGAGATGATGATAGTAATAATCACTCCTGAGTCACTCCTGATGAGGACCCCAAACAAAACAAACATCTGCACATAGCACATCTCTGTTATCAATTGGAAAATATATCAGTTTCATAAAAAAAAAATAAAAATAAAAACAAAAGAATATATATATATATATATTTATAAAATGTTAAATAATAAATAATTCTATATAATATTTAATATATATTTATTATATTTATAGAATTTCCATTCATTCTCAAATAATAAAATAAAAATAATGCAACCATTCAGATTAAAAAGTGTACAAAAATTATTTCTAAATAATTTGGATATTGCTATTAACCATGACAACAACAACAACTATAATAATACAAATTATTATTGTTAATAATTTAACAGTTTTATCTGTAATGAATTGCTTATGTTATGTATAGGTATTTGTTTATTGTTCAAATGCAGAAACAAATTTTAATTGTATTATTATTATTATTATTATATTACTATAAAAAGATTAACTATTAACAAATAGATACTTTATTAAAAATTAATAAACGGTTAAATTAATTAATATTACTAATTATTAGTAGTGTATTACTAATTATTAGTTATTAATAATAATAATGTGCATCTGCTTTTTGGCACAGTAAATAAACATTGTTAATAATTTTTATCTATTTATTTGTTTATTATGCCAAATTTTATTTTGCCATAATACAGGAACAAAACAGGTATGTGTAATTTATATAGGTTAACATAAAACAATGTGTAGTGGTACTATTACATCAAATCTTTTTTTTTTCCCAGTCCGTATGAGCTGTCTAAGGCCTGAAGTACTAACAGACCAGACATTTAACTTATTGAGAGTTATGTTACAGTAGTATAGTAGGCCTGATTAAAGAAAAAAGGGAGGGCAAAGTGTGATGTCACAGAAGCTGATGATGCATTCTGCCTGCGCACACTGTGATTGGCGGTCAGGTTCTGCCTGTGTTAACATGAAAGGATTTAGGACACCAGTCAATGCCTCCCATGGCAAGATCACATGATAACTGCCACTTTTTTTCCTCTCTCAGTCCGTCTCCCTCTTGCATTCTCCTCAGCTATTTTCAGTGAAGGTCACTGCGCTCACGAGTGCAGACGCAGCTGGTTAGAAACTGACTTTTCATCACACACCAGTGCTGACTGGCGCAGAGGACAGGAAGATGGAGAATGCCAGTACGAGCAGGGGAAACAGATACAGGAAGAGAGATCTGCATTCCTTTTCCTTTACCTAGACTTACATAAATCATATTCAGACATGAAATTTATTAAAATACCAATCCATCCATAATATATTAGATCTTACGACCAACATGTAAAATAACAGACAAACTTATTGTAACCCAATTACATAACACTCTAGAAAATAGTTACAACTGTAAGCTAAAACACACATAACCCTACAGACGATCATTGCATTAACTCCTTTGTGCTGTTGTGCATGGCATTGTTGGTTGACCCAGGCGGAGGTTCTGTATTATTGACTAAGGTAATAATGCTCTTCAGGTTCAGCATGACACAGATTGGATTGGCTTTCTGTCACCCGCTGAATAATTTAAGACTTTCTCTGGCATGACTGGAAAATTATTTACACACTCGCGGGATCCATTAACAAGCTCATAATGGAGCATTGTGAACAGAGAGAGCTGGCAGACAGGAATGTCAACTCACCGGAGTTACTGAACACCTGTTTATTTATAATATTCTGAGATCCAGCAGAAATGTATCCCGTTTTGACATTATCTATGCATCATGATGCTTCTATTGACTATGGTGGTCTTGATCTCCAAGTTCAAGTGAAAATTTCAGGATGAGAGATGCTTCAAGCTAAGCTAAGAGGAAATGAAAAAAAGATTAACTGTGCAGAGGGAGGATGGGTGGTTTCCATGTCTCAGTAAGAGGAGAGTATTAAATATTCTGCCTCTGGGGTAATCAGCTGAGTTGTGTTGTGTCCTCCTTATATTCCCTCTGACAGAGCAAAGAGTTGACCAAACACACACATATAGAGCCCCGTGGTGCAGGATCAAAGTGACACAGCTGCTAAAAATGGAAATATTGCCACTCATTACAACTGGAGCGTGTAATTTCTTTTTACAGAGTTAATATATTTCCTCCTAACCCAGCTTAATGTGTAGAGACAACTATAAGTAAGCCATTTGAGGGTTGATTTCCCTGGAAATTGTAAACATTGTGGCACTTTTATCATTGCTCAGTTTAATTCACATGTCATCTATACCACTTGGGTTAATCTGAATTTAATGTTCAGCATGTACCTGTCCTTTCCTGTTCACGCCGATGATTCCAGATGTGGCTTCGTGGGGTGCCGTCACAAAAATGGTCTCCCCGCTGATTCTGTTCATGTAGATGCAGGTGCCTGTCTCCAGGTCATACAGATGAATGTAACCGTATTTAGTGACGAGAAATACAACGTCCTGTTTGGAGCTGATCTGTGTGACAAGAAATTTGTTGGTGGTCAGTTCAAATCTGGATGAATTTACATTAATGTTCAAAACATTGGAGTTGGTAAGATTTTTTGTTTTTGTTTGTTTAAAAGAATTCTCTTATGCTTAAAAGGCTGCATTTATTCAATCAAAAATACAGTAAAAACTTAATATTGTATCAGTACTATTAAAAAATTATCTTTGAATATATTTTATAGTGTAATTTATTCCTGATAGCAAAGCTGAATACTCAGCAGTCATAATGCCTGTCACATGGTCCTTCAGAAATCATTCTAATATGCAGATTTTTTTTCAGGATTCTTTGATGAAAATTAAATTCAAAAGAGCAGCATTTATTTGAAAAAGATGGGACAACCAGTAAAGGAGGAAGGAAGAAACAAAGTAATGTCTCTTTCACTGGAAAAAAAGTCCAAGAATCCACATACCTGCATGGCAACGGGGAAGTCATTCTGTGCTTCTGGAGGGAAGAACACATCCACAGCTTTCTTTATGAATGGCTGGTTTCCGGTCGGTGGTGTCCCCACTTCAATAATGTGAAGCTAAATAATGAATTATTTTGTTAATTTCATGTTGTGAAGTAATACACACAAAATAATGCAAGTATAAGTGACAAATTAAGTGATCATCAATAATCAGCTCTGGAGAATAATTTAAAAAAGATAACGTTGTTTAATAATATTATTAACATATACCTCTGAAACTAAAACTAGCAAGCAACATGACCTCTTCCTCAAAAACTGTAGTTACCACCCAAAAAAAAACTTTCCAGACCACTTCCTCTCTTATTTAGACAACTGTGTTAGGAATACTGGCAGTTTACGCCTCTTTGCTGAATAAAATGTTTCTAGTTAATGCAATTAAATGTGATTAAAAACCATCTGGAAACACACCTTTCCTCCTGCCTGACCTCGCACAGCGAAACAGAAGAGAGTGGATTCTTCTGCATTTCCCTCCATTTTGAACTGGCCAAAGGCAGCAGCGTGACCCTCGATAGGTTGTGACACCTTCCGGTCAACTGAGTATAGCTGCATGGCACCAACAACTCTGTTTTGCTGTAACAAGAAACATAATACTTGAGAGATTTGGAAAAACGCCCAATTGATGGGCTGCATACGATTCATTTGACTAAAAGAAAGACAGATAAAGACTTAAGGAAATAAAATACTACTACAACTAATAATAATACATATATAATTAATAATAAAGTTAATAAGTTAAAGAAAAAAATGAAAATAAAGAAATGATTAATTAAAATGAAATCAAGAAATTAACAAAACAATATCTCAACTTAAGCACATGTGTGTCTAGAACAAGAGCAATAGGTGTGTATAATTCTAGACCAAAACCCCAGAATGATTATTTAAAATGCTTATGACACCTGAGCAGAAATGCCAATGAGCAGCAGCCACTTTTGCTTGGCATCGGTGCGGTAGTTGATGATTTGACAGCCTGCCAGGCTGGAATGTCTGTCAAACACTTTGACTGGCTGAGAGTCTCCCTCCATGCTCCAATGATAGACTGCATTATCCGTCACCAGGGCAAGACTGTTAAGAGAGATCCACTTCCAGAAAGTGACATCATCAGTCATGGTGTGGGCTTTCATCTTACTCTTCATCTCGATGTTAAAGATCTGCAGGGTTTTGGCAGCTGGGAGGAATAAAGAGGAGAAACACCATGAAGAAAACATTTTACATTTACACCCATAAAACAATTTAATTAGATTACAAAGACATCAGGGTAGAAATATTGTCAGTCATGGCTGGAAGTGCATCAGGCAAGCCCACCTTGACAGCTCATTCAGCAGTTAAGACAAATGAAGCAAAGCAATCAAAAAGCGAGTTTAGAGATCAATTGTGAAAGGAACACAATTTAGACAGCTGAAATTAAACACCAAAGACTGATTTCATCTTAGCACAAGGCTTACTGGACATTGACTTGCGAATAATGCGTGTTATGGGAAAGGAAAACTTGGCGGCAACTCACCTGAATAAATTCCATCGCATTATTCGGAACTTTGTGAATCAATTCAATACAATTAAGACAAGGACAGTATAATATAAAGGTTTCTAAAGTCAACATGAAATGCACCCGCTTTTACTTTCCCAACATGGTTTTAGAACCAGCTTTCGAGGAGACCATTTGACCAGGATGTGGAGGCTGAAAGTCAAGTTCACTCAAAAGTTATAGATTTTCCCCCCAATTCGATCATTATTTGCTATTATTTTAGTAACGTTCACAATAACAAAAATCAATGTTGAATTATTGCATAAAGTCGGCGCCAATAGCCACGTAAGCAGCGTGCCGATATGTAGCGCCATTGCGCTTCGGGCGTCCCGAGTTAGAGTCCCGGCTCACAGACCTTTTGCCATCCCCCTCTCTGTCTTCCACTTCGCTTCCTACTGTGCTATCTACATAAAAGGCATAAAATGCCAAAAAATACTTCTTAAAAAACAAAACAAAAAAAAACTATTGCATAAATTATTGGCAAGATTTTAAGATGTTCATGTACAACAGCCGTCCGATATAATGCCTAAATATTGGCGATTGGTTGTTTCCCCAGTCTCTGCAATGTAGACATCAGTAGAAATTTAAAGATGTTTCAGAGATAAAGCAAGTTATTATATTTTATTCAGACACTTAGAAACTTGATTTATTTTAGTTTTTTAATAAAACGTACATAAATCACAAAAACAAGAGTATTAAGAAATTAAAATGTCAATTTTTGAGCTCATCTTGACTTCAAAACAGCTTGCTTTCTGTGTGCTGACATTATTGAAGTCGTGATGAAACGGAAGTAGTGACAGATTGTTTCTTCCGTATTATGATACACATCTGGGAGACACAGATTATCGAAAAAAGGGAAAAAATTTAGGGCAAGGACAGGTTCTACTCGTCGGTTGTTGATTGGATTGTGAGATGTGGCCGTTACGCTTAAAAATGGAGGAAGATCTGAATGCCAGTTTGAAAGGACAGGTTTAAGTGGCCAATGATTGGAAAAGTGCTACATTTGTCAGAGGTAAGTCTGCAGTTTTCACAGAAAAACCTCTGATCAAGGTTACAAAAAAAAAAAAAAACATATACATGCATGAATCATTCACACTAAGACCAATAACATGCATTTGGAACATAGATTGGGTGAATTTTCATTTCATGCCGACTTTAAATTCTTAGTAGAACTAGTCTGAGATTGCAGGCTGTTGTGAAGCTGATTAATGCAGAGGTCAGAATTTAGTTTATATGCATCGACAGAAGGTATATGAATCCACATTCAAGACTCTCTCAACATAATAAGAGAGAGTTAAAATCCTGCTTTCATGCATCTAACTTAATATAGAGTGCCATTCCAACCAAGCTCTAACTTAAGACTTTAATTAATTGGTTCATATGTGTTTATATGCAGTGTGAACAAAGGCCAACTGCAGCATCGAGCAAGTCAAGATTACATCAGGTTAAAATACTGCTCAAGAAATGTGCTGGTTCATACAGTATATTGTGAACCCAAAATAAGCTAATAAAATGGTCTTTAGCCACAAACAAGCAATCGATTAAAGGCTAATCTAATTTTAAACTGCGACAGTGACTGTTCTGGCTCTCCAATGCAAGCCATTTACTGCTCTTTTTTTCTCTATGGAAAAGGCAAAGCAAACTTGTTTGATGTTACAAATAAACTTTGTTCAATCAGAAAATTTGATTTATTATTCCTTGTCACCTAGGACTCCAGACAAAAAAAAAAAAAAAAAATCAATTAAGGAGCCATTTACTCCCTACAAGAAACAAAATTAGCCGCCAAAATATTATTTTAAGTGCCACAGAATAAATGTGTTTTATATATTTTTTTAACACTTTAACATTTCAGTCATACTGTTATGTGTTTATGTCTCATCTTTTCTTGTCTTTATCAGCCTTTTAATCCAACTTGTAGATGTCCTGGGAACTAAGGTTCACTTAAAATGGGAACTAAACATCTTTTCCAACTTGAGAAATATATAGTCACAAAGAATTGTTTATTACACAGAATCTGTGCCAATATCATGGACCATATCGATGTCAGCATCACTTGGCCTTTGAGTGCATTTTGGGCTCCTCCTCAATGCATCCTATAAATGTTGTCATATGTCTTGCACACATCCAGTCTATTTTTCTTCATTAGTAACATGCAGTTATATAGAAGGTGTTGAATTTTATTTTTAGCTCTTTGCATTCTCTTATCATGTAGACAACAGGTTAAGTAAAAATAAGAATATTCCATATAGCGCGTATATTCAGCAAAATGCTCCTCTTTATAGTTATTTTTCTAGCTGACTAATGAGCTTATGGATGCCGAATGGTTATTCTGAGGTTAACGATTGTTACGTGGCATTGTTTACATGCTTTACAAGTTTTCCGCAGTTTGAACTGAATGAGCGATTGCTTGAGACATTTCAGTAAGTTTTACTGTAGGCTATCTTATAATATACAGTACCTTTTGAAGTTTATTTCGTACTACTGCAATAAAGAGAAAGAATGATGTGTTCACATGCTGCTTGAACTGAGGCGCTAAAGCGATCGCTCATGCCGCATTAAGGAGTAAAACGGTATTTATTGTTTGAATTTCGTTATGAATTTGGCAGAATTTTAAAGCTGATGCTGTTTGTTTATTAAAAGGCAACAGAGCACAAAGCTTACTGTGATTACTAGACAGCAAGTGCGTTACAAATAATATGAAGTTCACGCATTAACAAAACGTGACATATAGACTAAAGATCTTGATAACAAGAAGCCATATTAGTATCGATTATAAATGAGAATTGTTACAATATTGCTAATGTCCACACAGCTGACAGCTTTACCTGTTGTAGTTTGTTCAAGTTGTGCATGAAATAGACACTACTTTTCTGCACTTTTACTTTGCACGTCTCCATCATTTTCGATCTCTCTCATGCTGCCACAATTGGAGCTGCTTTTTCATTAGAAGGTGTGCTGTCAGTGCTGGTGTTCGGCAGAGATGAGGACTGTTTTTCCACTAAAACTTTGGTGTGCATCATCTCAGTTTATTACGTCAACATAAATGATGTGATCGCAAAACAATCAGGAAAAAAGGCATTACATGCACGTTTTTAAATCATAACATGTAAATTTATATAGTCACCAGTGGCGAACTCAACAAAAACTTGAAGTCGCAAATTAATATTTTTGGTCGCAAATGTGACAGTTTTAGGCGCAGTCTGGAGCCCTGCCACCCATTAATATCGTTTAACATAGCAATTACAATTAATAAGCTAAGAATTGGAGAGATGACAATAAAATAGCCTTCTGTACAGCATGACAAATCTTTCAACTCTACACGGGCACTGAGCTTATTGTAAAAGCATATTAATTCCAACATCAACTAAGACACTGATACAGTGTTAGTCACAGAGCTGCTACCTAAACACAAGCTGCATAGTGAAAAAAAACCTAATGGACTATGAACTACCACAATAACCATAAATCTATGAGGCTACCTTTACCCAGGTTCATTCACATGGTCTTGAAATTTATATGGAGATGCTTGATGTTAAGATTACATAGGGAGGGTGGGGAAAAGGACTCAATATGGCAAGCATTTTAAATGATAACAATTAAAATTAAACAAAGAGAAAAGCAAATGTATGCCCAACAATATTTCAAACCCCAGAAAGAGAAACTTATGTATACAGAAATCAACATGATGTGAACATTCAATTATAAATTTAGTGAAAGTTAAATCCTGTTTAGCCAAAGTGGGTTAATTATGTGGTACATTGTTGGCTAAACAGTCTTTATCTATGTAAACAATATCAGAGAGATGCCAGGACATGTTTGCTTTACATTGCCTATTATGGCTTGAATTTGCATGGGGCCTAAGTCCGAACCTTGAGGCACACCTCTCCTATATTTACAACAGCAATACTGTTGATTTTTAAACAGCCGTTGTTCTCATAACACATTCACTAAAATCAAGATCAGAAAATATTTAGATTTTTTAGTTATAAGTACATAAATATACAAATAATTATTTGCCAAACAGACAGGAACAATGTGTATGTGTAGCCTAAAGTATTATTTATTAAATATTTTGCCTTGAAGTGGAGGCTCTAGAAACACCTACACAAGGTTAAGCAATGAGGCCAATCAACTCTACATAATGTTCATTTTAGAAACAGGATTATAACTTTCACAAATCATTGTACCAAAATGTTAACTCACCGTCTGCATACACATGAGAAAGCAGCAACAAAAAAGGAAACAAAACAAAAAGACAAAGCAATTATGGCTGCATGACAGAAAATACACAACATATCATGTTACTGTAAGCTAAGATGTAGCCTAAAATTAGGAAAATGCAAAAAAACATTTGCTACAGAAATTGGTCTAGTATAACTTAAACTAAAAACTAACTCTGGGTGAATGAATGAAGCTAAGAAAACAACTCACTTAATTTCTAGATTAAACAACAATGGATTGGATCAATCCTATAATTCAGTTGAGCTAAAAATTCAGTAGTCATTACAATTAGGTTAATAAGAGCATCCCTGGAACTAATCATTTATATATCCTACCTTTAAGTGCGATGACTTTGCTTGCAGGGTTCATGATAGCGCTATCTGCAGAGATGGGCCTGCGGATGGGGGTGTTTGGGTCCGCCATGTCGATGATCACCACCTGTGCCTGTTCTCCAACCTTCTCCCGGATACAGATGAACTTATCAGACTCCATCGTCAGGGTGCTGAACCCGATGTTGGCTGGGTTGATCCCCAAATTTTGGAGCTAGGAAAAAGAGACAAGTTTTATTTGCTTTAATTTTAATTAATGTATTATATACCAATTAAATTTAAATCTTCACAAATCTTAAATCTCATCTTAAAACTTCACAAAGGGGGAATGTTTTCTAAATGATATCAGGTTTCTCTTTGACCCTGTGAACGTTTCTAAGAATTGAGCTTAAGAAGAATCAATGACTAGATGATCCACACTACAGATTAAAATGGATCCGAAACATAATTTACAAGGGACACAACCAGACCTAACAGTAACAGCAAAGAACTTAGTTCCAATGTAAAGGTGCTTTTGTTATAACAAAATTTAAGCAGTAGGAGTGTCTCTTACAATAAGATTAGCATTTCAATAACAGTAATAAAAAATAAAAAAAAGCCACAGAACCAGCAAAACCTCTCTTTCCCCACCCCAGTGAGCCAAGCACATGACTTTGCTGTCTGAAAAGGCCTTGAAGGAATTTATCTCAGGGACACACAAAGAACAGATACAAGAAAGACTTCATTTTTAAACAAGACTGTGTACTGAGAGCTTTGTTCCAGAATCACAGACAATTAGCAATCATGAATATGTATCTAACTATTTGGACATTTTTGGTCAATACTGATTTCAAAGTCACATTTTGGCATTCCAAATATGCTTTTCAATTAACACAATTCAATTAAAACGTTAAAAGTGCTGTATATTAATGAACTCAAAAAGCCTAAATTACAAGATATGCACAAAAAAAGAATGGTGGTAATTTGTACAGACAAATATTGTACAAATGCTACAATAAATAGATGTTAATTGGTTAACTCTAAATTATCTTGCCATATATGCTGAAGATTTGTTAATTGTTTAACATCACATATCAAATTTTACTTCAAAATTCTGCCAAATAGATATGTTTTTGCATGTAAAAACGAGGAAGTACTGTATAATCTACATAGAAAAAAGTTAAAGGACATTCCCAAAGTTCCTCCAGTTATTAGATGATGTACAAATTACAAGTCACCAACAGGCAAACCTCTCAAAAAAAGATCAGAGGAGGAGAGACAAAAACACTTCCATCATTTAGTAGAGCACTTGAACATCCTCAGTTTCCCTCAATTACCTCAGATACAGAAACAGCATGTCAGTGCTACCTGGCACAAAGATGCTCAAAAAATACAGCAAGACAACAGCCAATAACATCTAACACACTGGCATAACTTGCAGATTTCATTCATTTGAAAAGCAGAAAAAAAGCTAATTATAGACCTTTCACAATGAAATAAATGCACAAAGTTCATTATTAAGCAATAACACTTTAATAGTTGCCTTTTACTGGTTATGCCAATGATTTTAATTTGATCAATAGTCAAGTGATAGTGGCATTTCTACCCACACATTTTTCCTCGTCAAGAGGTTATACCAGTTAACACTCAACAACATCGACACCGAATTCAAATCCGCTAATGAAGCGTGTTTCAAAGCTGGTTTCAATCTATTAAAGAGACACTTGTCACGTCTTCTTAACTAGCAGAACTAAACCAACTATGACGCGACTCAGGTATCAGTCAATTACAGACAAAAATAAAAGTCAGTGGGATGCCAACTCAGAAGCACCACACCAGCTGCCTTAGAAGTCTGAGTCACCAAAAGCTCGGAAATACTGACCCTGAGACTGAGAATAAGATCTGCACTTCCACACAGAAAAACAGTGTGATCTGCACGTTAATAAATGCTGACCTTTGTACAGTAAATTAGTCTAATTCCAATTCTATGATTCACACCATATGACAAAGCAACACATGTAGACGAGAAAATGCAGTGACATCAAATCTGCAAAGAGACTTACATTTGAAATGGGTTCAGAGAGGAGCAGAGGAGGATTTAGTGTTGGAGACATCTTGACTTCAGGCATTTTCAACTAAACTGACAGCTGCTTCTGTATTGACTCTTCTAATACCAAGTCAGATGGCTAAAAGGGTGAAGTTGTAGCTTTATTACTGATGAGCAGCCAAAACCCAGCCTTTATTTTTATCAGCCACCAGACAGATCTCAAATACCAGTAAGCTCAAACAAAGGCGGCAGTCGGGTTAGCGACACTGACATATATAACCAATCACGTTCCAATGCACCGTACACCAGCTGCCGCACATGCTGAATTACAGAGATCAGAGCTGACAGCTGCAGGGATGAGAAGTCTTGGTCTTATATAACATCACTTACAGCTCTGAATGCTGCTGGACAGTAGGAGAGTCCTCTGTGACATTAACAAAGCTTTCAGCGGTCAGTGTTCAGCAGTTAGTTGCCAAAGAGTTCCAAGCTTTGCAGCCAAGTCCATCTGTTTTGTCTAGGGCTGTGCGATATTGAAGAAAAATGCGATATGCGATGCCTTGTTAAAAAATGTGATATTCAAGATGCGATTCGATGTTGCTTAAAGTGTGTAAAATCAATTTAAATGATATTTTAAAATATTTAAAAATGAAAATTATATAACCAATTTGTTGGTTTAGTCTTTACTTGGCAAATAAAGAATCACTATAACTTCTGAAAGTGACCAGCAGTGTTTTAGCATTACTTAAAAAGTAATGTCACAAATCAGAAAATGTAATTTAACATCAATGTGAACATCCAAACAAAAAAAATTAATGACACTAATTTTATATCATTGTAACTTTGCTTTCCATACACTTTAAGTACTTCTTCATATACCACAGCAAAAACTATAGTCTGAGAAAGTTCAAACATGATTAAAGGCAAGTGAACAGTCAGTAAAAAAAAAAAGAAAAAAAAAAAAGAAACACAATTTACAAGCATAGATAAAATAAACAGTAGTATTCAGGTACAGAAATGTTATAATTACGTGTAAAATAACACTGCATAGTGTTCACTGTATGAATTAAATTTAGATTAATCTTTGTTATAGCCGTTTTGTTTTTGTGTTAACATTAGTGACATTCAGCAGCACGTATTTATAGGCTGCTTTCCCTTTAAATCCAACTGCACGGATCCAGTATACACATCCGATTTATTTCTCAGCGGTTTACATTCATTTAAAACATAACCGACTGCATTTACGAGAATGATCGTCAAGACGGGTACTATTTAGAGCCCGACCGATATGGGTTTTTTGGGGCCAATACCGATATTTGGGAGTAAAAAAATGGGGGATATCGATATATCGGCCGATATTCTTTGTGTATATTATAGTACAGTACCAGTCAAACGTTTGGACACTTTCCCATTCAAGTGTCCAAACATTTGACTGGTACTATATATAGAATACAGTATATACATAAACAGAATATATATACATAAACACATTTTTTAAAATGATCACTCAAATGTGGTGATGAAACACTTATAATGACGTGACAATTTAACAATAAACTTTATTATCCAAAATGAGTCTGACGTCAGTGCACTGAACAGTAAAGTTGAAGTTTATTCAACTTTAATACAATTAAATTCCATTCAACTTTATTCCATTGAAGTTTATTTCACTTTGGAACATTCATTCACAGATTTGCGCTACTGTCTTCACACACAGACGGAACTTACTAGAGAAGTGTGAAGTGTTTACCTCTGTAAATAAATATAAATTCACGTCTCGCACACTTTAATGCCCTTTGAATGCAACGTGGACGTTCCCTTGGAACTGGAATCATGGCGGAATATCATGTGAAGTCCACTTCGGGGGGCACTTACGATCGAATAAGACAACGCTTGAATGCTGCTGCCTGAACAAGAGACCTCCTTACTGAAGTGAAAGTGTTAGCTGGTGTCACTATCTCACGAACGCACCGGCGGATCTCCAACAAATTCGGGGGATCCCTTCAGCTCGAGGAGCCCTCTTGAATGCCACCCTCCGCGCGTCGGTAGCCCCCCGGGATCGCTAGATCGGTCGGCGCCGGACCGCGAATTTAACCGCCGGTAACTCCCAAACCCCGGGGGCTATCGACGCGAGGGTGATCGAAAGCGGGCCTCTAGACGTACACTCGATTTCGAGAGGGTTCCTTGAGCTGAAGGGATCCCCCGAATTTGGTGTCGATCCGCCACACCGTTACAGAGATATGGCCTTTCAAAATTTCAATGGTTTTCCATAGACTTAAGCTTTAAAGCGTTTCATCCAGGTCGTCAGTAGCAAACAATGGAGTGCGCTCTGCTGGACAAACTAAGTAATTACAACATTTCAAGCATTTTATCTGCGTTATATGCTCTGTAAAAAAAAAAGTTCATATCAGCGGCATATTCGCCGATACGATACATCGGCGACAGGCTCATATTGGTCGATAATATCGGCTAAACGATATATCGGTCGGGCTCTAGTACTATTGACATAATTCTGTGTGCATGTGTCTGTTCAAACATAAGGAGGAGATGTGAAAGACGAATCAACTGAAGAGACGCTGTGCTATGTGGCTTGTGCGCGCGCTTCAGGTGTGAGTCAGACAGCAAGACGAGATGGCAAAGAGTTGTTTTCTGCAACTTATTGCACTTAATTTATAAAGAGAATAAACTTATTCTCTGCTATATGCGTCAAACTAAAACTTTGACCTATTGCAAGCCGTTGCGATATGCATATTGCGATATTTCGATAATTTGATATATCGTGCAGCCCTAGTTTTGTCTAAACTCCACTTTACAAACGTTTTTGCATTGCATTTTGGGCTGATAACTGTCTCAAAGAGCAAAGCTGACTTAAACCTGACTTGAAGGTACAAGGAAGAATATAAGAGATAAATTAGTCAGATGTCATTATTGTGACATTATTCTGCTTAATACAAAGTCATGCAACTACAAAAACATGTCTTCGGAAAACAATTTTATAGCGCATGCATCGTTTGGACTACATTTATGATGGTTTTATGATGATTTTCGTTGTTTTTTTTTTAGAGTTTTGACAGCCCATGTTCCCCATACACTTTTATTGTATGGAAGAAACCAGTGTGAACCCACGTCAGCGCTTTTGTGTTCTACAGTAGAGAGGACATGAAGGTGAGTAAATGATTAAAATTTTTCAT